CATAGATGCAGAGTGTTCCCCTAAACTCCCCAAAAGTGCAATCTGAAGAAACTAAGCCTTCAGTTTTTAATTTTTCTGCCATGCAGTCCTTTAGGGGATAAAGGTTTCTGCCATGCAGTCCTTTAGGGGATAAGGGAAAATAGGTTATTTAGATAAGGAGAGCTTCCAGGGAAAGGTGTTTGGGCCACTTTCTAGGCCTTGAAAAAGAAGAAACCAGCTCCTTTGAACATTAGTACTCCTTCCCTTTTTATGTAAAGGAAGTCTCCCAACCCTGATTCTTTTTTTACTTCCCCAATTGCTCCAACTAAAACCTGTGAAATGCTCGAGCCAAGTGAGAAGAGGGAATTGGATGGAAAGCATGTCTTAAGTAAGATACCTTCTCAGCTGATCAGTGTTTCTGAATTAGTAGCTGATTTGATTACATCTCCACAAGTGTCCCCTCCTAAGTGCTCGTTTAATCTAGGTGACCTACTGCTCCACCAGCAGTTGATCTGCCTCCACCATCACAAGTGCCTTCTCTTAAGTTTCTTTCTAACTTTGTCGGCCCACCATCACCCTTAGACAATTGACTACCAAAAAAATGGGAATGGGATTCTGAGGGTACTCTCTTAGAATTTACCAGGTTGGAAGGGATGCTTTGTTAAGGGAATTCCAGGTGATCCTTCTACAGGAAACTTGGGAGCAGTATCCTTTTTATTTTTATTAAGCATCCAGCTGTTGTAGAGATTAGGGAGGGATGCCCCCAAGCTGGGCTGGCATGCTTAGTGGCTACCTCCCTTGATTCCAAGGTCTTAGGAATCGATTGTCAGTTGTCCTTGACCTTACCAGTTCTTTTAATTGTTAATTGTCTGTTGTTTATATTTATTTCTATCTATATCCCTCCAGTTATCTCAGTACAAGCTCTCTATTCTAATTGGTCAGAATTACACAGTCTACTTCATCATATTCCCTAGAGCTAAGGGTTTTTTTGAGTGGACGAAACCCTCCTTGGTAAAATTCCAGGGTTACTTAACTTTCTGGGGTGTTTTGAAGAACTAGAGATCAAAAGATCAACCAAGCAGGGACTCTGTTATTCAAGCTGGTTATTCAGTTTGGTTTAGCAATGCTAGGCTGCGGTCACACGGAGCATTAGCCACACTACAGAGACGAAAGATAGGCAGATTTTCCAGGTGCAATCAAACCACAACATCTGGGAAGCATAGAGCTCCCATGGCGAACCCGAGGCTTCCCGCCGAAGATACGCCGTAAAAAACTAGTACCTCCAGTGGTAGCTCGTGGCATCCGGCATCTGCCCATGTCCTATCGTGAAAAGGGGTTTTTTGATCAAGTCTCCACGGGATGCGCACAAGCACCCAACAGCGCATGTGCACAGTTCAGTTAAAAAAACACAACCCCTGCCGCGCCGCTTCTTTGCCACACCGCAGGATTGACGTATGATCAGCACCTCCCCCCGAACCATGGGACGTCGGCAGGACGTTTGATCCGGCAGCCGCGCAGTAGTTCACTCCGGGGAAAACAGCCACACCTCCCCCCCCATGATATCTGGCCCATGTGACCGGGGCCCTAGACAGATGGTTTGGCAGCTTGGTAAGCCTAACCCTCCTCAGTGACTCTTATAAGGCTCTCTGGCTCCAGTTTTTTTGAACAGAAGTTATCTTTTGTAAATCTTAAGGTGGAGAATCTTTTTTCTTCCTCAGTTAATCATTGCAAAAAACATGTAGCCAAGGTGATTTATGCCAGAGATGAGTTATTTTGATACTTGGAGGACATGTTCTGCACTTGTCTTGGGGCTTTCATTTAGAGGTAAACTCCCTTCTTATTTAGATTCCTTGGTTAGCCCAAAATTATGTAGTACCTTTATGAATTCATGATTCAGCTGCCACTTTTCAGTGGTATTTCTGGGTTTTCTGCTACGGATCCTTTTTTCAGATTGGCTCTGTCCTTGCCTCCTCTAGTCAGTAGACTATCTTGTACATATTCTCCTGCACTGTCCTTATGTGCTGCAGTTTAGGCTAAGTAAAAGTATGCTTCTTCTAGCAGCATAAGAGCAAAAGTTTCAGTTTCTCTTAGAGGATTCTGATTCCCAACAAACTTATTTTGTTGCTCGATTTCTAGAGGCTGCAGAAAAATGTTGAAGGGAGGTGATTTTAGACATGGATTTTATGTGAGGGTGTTTTTTTTTAATTGCTCAAGACCTCAGTCTAAGAACAGGGGATGAAAGAAGAAAGAACGATTGCTTTTTAATTTCATTGACTACTTTACTACAGAAAAAATCCAATAGGAAATATCAGTACATTCGCCAAACAAAGGATTTCATCCAGTGATGATTGCATGGGTAGAAAATGTTGAATCTTTATAAATTATTATCAAACATTTGATGGAGAAAAACTGTTAAAAGGACAAGATTCCTTAGAAAGTTAAATGTTTCCCATTTTCATTCATATCTGGTTAACTTTTGGAGAATAAAAAACTGGGATGGGGTCTCAAAGTGTTTCTGAAGGAGAGACTGCCAATATGTCATCATGTTTATTCATTATTAAATTCGATTTCTTAACTGCCCTTCCCCACTTACGCGGGGCTCAGGGCAGTTTACAACAGTTAATTCATTACATTATAAAATCAATGACAACTATAAAATCCCAATATTAAAACATTCAGAAACATTTAACTATTGAAAGCATTTTAAGACAAGATGACAGCGCTAGCATTCAGTCATGGGGGGGAGGGGGGTGGCAGGCAGATGTAAGGAGCTGTCGCTAACCTCAACCAAAAGCCTGACAGAACATCTCTGCCTTACATGCCCTGCAAAACTTTAATAAGTTGGGTAGGGAACAGCTGTCATTCGGCAGAGAGTTCCACCAGGCTGGGGTCAGGGCAGAAAAAGCCCTGGCCCTGGTCGAGGCCAGTCGAATATCTTTGGGGTCAGGGACCACCAGAAGACTCTTACCTGTAGATCTTTATGCCCTTTGGGGGACATATCAGGAGATGCGGTCCCAAAGGTATGTAGGTCCCTGACCGTAAATACCTTCCTTTATCTTCCTATTTGACAATTTGGCTGGGAGTTCAACAGGATAGTTAGCAATATCAATAGCAAACTCCCATTAATATTATAGGAACCATTTGTATCCCAGCATCTCTAGAGATAGAGATGGGGGGGAGGATTAAATTTTGTAAAAATTGAGTTTATTTCCCCAAGGATTTCTTTTCATTTTTTCCAATTGAAAAAAAATCAGAGTTTTAGGAAACAGTTAATAATTGCTATAAAAATAGTCTTATTGGAATAACTGAAGTGCTTTCTAAGACAAGGTTTTCCTCATTCAAGGATATAGTATGAAGATTTGTATGTAAATCAATCTACCGCATTAGAGAATAATTCCTGTGTGTACTGTTGATGTATTGTTTAAATGTAACTAATTGTGTCCACTGTTAAATGCTACACCATCTATTTTAAGACATTATTGTTTTCAATGTTACACTGTTCAGCTCAATAACTCAATGTGTCCCTTGTCCTGTTGTGTTTGTATTAGACAGTTCTTGTCCAAATAATAAATTTCCTTTTTTACTTCAAAATGTGTGCTTTATATTCTCAAAAAAAAAATCCCTCAGACAGCAGAAAACTAAGATAAATATGTTAATGTAGCATAAGGTGCAGAAGTCTGTTGCTGTGTAATATTGGGTATATGCACAATTTTACTTGTCAAAAAACTGGTGGCCTCATCCTAGTATGGTGGCACATAAATGGCACCATTGGTTGTCCAATCCTATGTCCAACTGGCAGAGGGGGAAATTTTTTATGCCTTCCCAAGCTTTTGTATCTCTGTCTAGGGATGAACTAGCCTAATGAACTTCTACACCCTCAGGGGTCTGGATTTCATATAAACTATTTGGATAGCACATGAAGAGGAAGGGCAAACTCACTGCCTTTAACTGTTAATAATCTGCTTGTGGTAAAATTTGTATCCCATTGTACCCACCCATCCACAGATCTCTCACATCAAGGACAGGACAGAAGGCTATATCTAGCATATGTCCAGTTACATATACATTGGGACCACAAACTAGTGCTCACAAAGTTCTGAGCTCTTCGTGTGAACTGTGAATTTGCCCAGCATCCAATATCTGGAATACCTCAGCATGTGATCCAAGCTGCCTCATCAGTCCAGCCAGAGAGTTTGTTAAACATCAGATATGCTAGTAAAATTCCCACGCTGTTCCAACTTCACAACAGAAAGATACCTTTGAATCCAGAAACAGTTTGCACAAGATACCTAATAATGTATTCCTGCAGTTAACAACAGTTGCTCCTGATTGTCCCATTCCTTGTGCTAAAATTACAGAATTACTAGCATTTGTGGCATGGGAATCTTGGGACATTTCACGACATTCAGTTGACCCACAGAATTTTGAACTGATGGTTGTTTGGTTGGGTAGTTTGCATAAGGAATATTAGTATATGTTGATTATTTAAGGGCCTATATGTAGAATTTGTCAACACTATTGGTTTTTCTGCTAGATAGTATACATGGGCTGGACAGAAGAACGGGAACAAGACTCTCTTCAGGACCGAATGTATACACCAAAGTTTCTAGCACTGAGGGGATCTTCACTTTATAAATTTATAGCACCTCCAGTAAGTATTGTTACCTTGTACTGGTTGCCCATTAAATGTGTAGATAACTTTTATTTCATGACATTCATATAAAGTTTTTATTATTCCTAGGCATTTCATTCCTAGGCCAAGAAAGTCAATGATGGTGGTGAGAAACTGATTTATAAACATAAAACGGCTGTGAGAATAAATAAATCCTGATTGTTTCTAGTACTGTAAGAAACACTTTGACCTCTACACTGTCACACTTGGAGAAACTAACAAGCAAGATGAAAGCTTACTCTGTCTGCACTGAACTACAGTCCAATTTTCAGCCTAAAATGCTGTGAACATAAGGAAATAGAGCTTTCCATGTGGCACGAGAAAAGTTGCTTTCAGACTAGGCTTTCTGGCTGAATCTTCTTGGATGCAATTTTGGTCCCATTTAAGAAAAAAAAAAGATTGAGAAGACACCTGAACCCTTTCTTTAGTTCACATATAAAAAAAAAGATTGAGAAGACACCTGAACCATTTCTTTAGTTCACATATACAGGTCCACAATTACTACTATTGCTTATACTGATTTATTTCCAGTTTCAGTGCTCCTACATAATTATTTAAATTAGATTTATTTTCTCAGTTCCTTGAAACAAGTATGTACTATGTTCTTTTTGCAAAGCATGAAATCAGGAGCTTTAAATGGGCTTTACTTTGAACAGTGTTACCATTAATGAGGATATAATAATGAGAATATATTATTATAAGGATACTCTGCTGTTCCCTGTGCAGTGATTGCCACCCTAAATAGGAGTGTACTGTAGTACTTCCAGATAATGCCTGGATCTTCATGGACCTCTAGTGAAAATGTGTCTCAAAACAGAAAACATCTTCTTAGAATCTCTTGATGTTGAAAGTTAAAATACTGATGCCATGTGGGAAGGTAATCATTATAAGGCCCCACAACCCAAATTGTAGAGACTGTGGTAAGAAACATAAGAACCATGCCTGCTGGATGAAAGCGCAGATCCAACTAGTCCAGCATGCTGTTTCCTACCGTCACCAAACAGAGTATCCCCAGAAAGGCCCACTAATAGGGATATGGATGCCAGAATTTCTCTCTGTTGGTGCTTCTTTGCACCTGATACTCAAGGTTACATTTCTTCTCAACATGGATCTTTATTTAATTTTTATTTCACAGCTGTATTTGGCCTTTCTAGGATCTCAGAGTGTCATAAAACATATAAAATACATATTTAAATACAGCTATAACTAAAAAGATTAAATTGCATGCAAAGAAGCCCTAGTGCATATTCATACTACCATTCATTAAAATTCCTTACAAACATTCAGTGCTGCGATAGTTGCCCAAGCCAAAACTTCATAATCCTTTTCAAGGGTATACACACAGAGAGCATGTTAAAGATACCTGCTTGAGGTGGCTCACAATATAAAATAATACAATAAAATCATAAAAAATATAGACATTATTAATACACAACCATTGGTGGTTACGCAACTTCAAGTGATCTTGGAGGAGATGAGTCATCTCAATCCAGATGCTGGCCTGGGATTGAAATGCAAATAGCCTTTTTCAGCCTACCTGGTGATCTTTGCCAGGAGAGTAATGAGGGAGCCAGTCCCTGTTGATTCTCTTGAATGTCTTGGCAGCATTTGATACCAACAAATATGGCACCCTCCTGGAGAGCTAGCGGAGTGGGGGGGCATTCTTCACTGGAAGAGTGGCAATGTCATGCTTTATTGGATTCAGTATTAATTAACAGAGAAATTCCCAGAAAGTGCTGCTTTGCCACTGCTGCTCAGATCTGTAGCATTTATACTATGGGGTCCTGCAGAATTCTAACTTGTGCCCCATGCTGTGTAACGTCTACATGAAACTGCTGGGAGAGATCATCAGGGGGATTTGGTGCCACCAATATGCAGATGACACCCAGCTCTGTTTCTCTTTAACAGCTCAGTCAAGTGGGTCTGTGGAAGTCCTGAACAGGTGCCTGGAGAAGGTAATGGGATGGATGAGGGCTGATAAACTGAAGCTCAGTCCAGATAAGACCACAATACTGTTGGGCAATGATAAAACTGCTCAAGGACTGAGTAATCTGCCCCAGAGAAGGTTGCACTCCCCTTAAAGGAGCAGGTTCATAGCTTGGGGACACTTCTAGATCCTGGCCTGTGACTGGAGGCTCAGGTCTCCTCTGTTGCACTTAGTACTTTTACCAGCTTCGGCTAATACACCAGTTATAGCTGTTGCTTGGTGATCAGTGGCCTGATCACATCCAGATTAGATAACTAATGTGGTCTACATGGGGCTGCCTCTGAAAATGGTCCATAAAATTCCACTGTTCTAAACTACAGTTGGCAGATTACTGTCAGGGGTGAGATACAGAGATCATATCACTCCCATGCTGAAAGATCTGCTCTGGCTGCCCATTTGTGTTCAGGCACAATCCAAAGTGCTGGTTCTAACCTTTAAAGCTCTAAATGGTTTGGGACCAGGATCCTTGAAGGACTGCCTCCTCCCATAATTCAGCCTGCCAGCTGATATTTCCTCACAAGCCCTGTTCTCTGCACTCATCTTTATAAGTGAAGTGACTGGCAACCAGAGACAGAGCATCTTTCAGGCGCCAAGCCAAAAGACTGCTGTTTACCCAGGCTTTTAATTAGGCTTCTGATCATTTAACACCATTCTCATATAACTTTTAGCCTGAAGACTGTTGATTTCATTTTAAATTCCCCAGTGCTTTATGTTTTTATGCTCTATTGCTGAATTTTAATTACTTTTTCAATTATTATTTTTTATTATTATTATTTTGTAAGCCGCCATGGGCAGGATTCCCTTGAAAGTCAGCATAAACGTTTTCTTTGTAAAAATATATATATATATAAAACAAGCCAAGGCATAAAACCACATAAGGCCGTCTATAAATGATATTAATAATATGGTTTACAGACTAGAAGTTGACCATAGAGACAGGTAAAGAAGATGAAACCCTTTAGTTAAAAGCATATTAAAAGAAACATTTTGTCTTGGTGCTTGAAAAACAGTCACTTTGAGGAGGGGTATTCCAAAAAATGAGCAAACTAACTAATAAGCTTAAGCACTGTCTCTGGTTGCACACACTTCAGCTTTGCAGGCAAACACACAGAAGGCAAGTTTTAGAAAGAAGAGGTTGTAACTGGTAAGCTGGACAGTATGGGAGGAGGCAGTCCTTTTAGTATTTTGTCTAGAGGCTTAGAGAGCAATCCTTAGCAGGTATATTCACCATCCTACTGTGATCACACCCAGGAAAGTGTTCTTAGGATTGCACTGTTAGTTAATGAAATATAGATCAGGGTATCATCGACATATTGAGGACATCCAACTCCAGAGCTCCAGGTGATCTCATTTAGCAGTCTCATATGAATATTGAACATGAAACATGTTCAAGTTCCCAGGCCAATTATGCCACCTCTCTAATGCAAACTGTGAGTCCAATCAAAGAAAAAAGACCCAAACCATTGAAGACTGGCTCCTGTTAACTCCCATCCTTTTCTCTGATTGAAAAGCAAGATAGTATAATCTACAGTATGAAAGGCAGCTAAAAGATTTTATTTTTAAAAAGCATTTAGCCATATTGGCTGGTATTGGTTGATATCAGTAGCTAAATTCATTTTCTCCATGAATTTTCTGACCCCCTTGTAAAATTATATAAGCTAGCAGCCATCACTTTATCCTCTGGGAAGGAGTTCCATATGTTAATTGTTTTGTTAAGTATTTCATTTTGTTTGACCCGAAGCTTGTACACTGACTTCATTGGGTGCTTCTGAGTTCTAGTATTATGGAAGAAAAAGAAATGTTTTTCACTATCCAGTTTCTCCACATCATGCATAATTTCTTAACCTCTTATGAGGTCATCTCCTAGCCATCTTCTTTTCTAAAAGTCCCAAACTCTTTAGCTTTTAGAAATAACCTCTAACCCCTTGATCATTTTTATTGCAGTTTTCAGCAAATGTAATTATGCACACAAATATTCTTAGGAAAAATAAACCTGATCTATGAAATGTTGAGGATATTTCAGAGGTAACTTTCAATCATCTGTCCACGGTGTCTATCAAAATTTGTTGTTAGATCCAAAACCCCATCACATATATTTGAATGAAAAACTAATGCAATTATATTTCATGTGTTTTCACCCAAGGTTACTACGTGGGATTGGACGAGAGCCGAAAGAACATTTTCTGTGTATGAGATTATGTACAAAATATTCAAGGTATGAATAAAACTATAACATCATTTACTGAAGGAAGGGAAAGAAAGATATCTTGAAGGGTCCTTAACAGCGGTAGCAAAAACTCCCACTGAAAACTAAGTTGGTGCCAGACAGTGGTCTCTGTGGAAAAGACCAGAGTGATGGACATAATCAAGAACTGGGTTTAGCATGAAGTGTGGGGGGAAATACCCAAACGGTATTCAAGGATAATCAATTATAAAAATGTCCCACTACATTTCAAGGCAAAACTCTTTCTCAAGGGTATTAAAAGATGAATGTGAAAAAATATGTTAGGATTGAGTAGTTCCTCCAACTGTTGTTAAAAATATGACCTATATAATAAATTCTAAAACAAGGCTCTAACATCTATGATATCAGTCTACTGCAATTGGCTGTTAATGTAATAAATTAATTGAAAATAACTGTACTCTGTATTCTTCCAATCTAATTTACAATAGAGCACTTTTCACAATGAAAAGTAACTTTCTTGCTTCAGAAATCTGTTTTATCATTTTAAGCATTAGCAAATGACATTTTCTTGTTTCAACTGTAATAATAGACTATTTAGCAAACTGTATATGACGGCAAAGGATGAGATGGTTAGACAGTGTCATCGATGCAACGAAGATGAAATTGAGCCAACTTCAGAGGACGGCGGAAGACAGGAGGGCCTGGCGGGAGATGATCCATGGGGTCGCAAAGAGTCGGACTCGACTGTGCGACTGAACAACAACAACAATATGATAGTATTTCTCAAACTGAGGCCTGAGGTTCCATGGTGATACACTAGGGACCCTGCAAGTCCTTTCTTAAGGGTAGAGGGGGAGCCATTCTCATACCCATCTGGCTAATGTGAAAATGGAGCTCTCTCAATTTTCTGGGAATGGGGAAGATACTGTCCCCCTCAGGAGGAAAAGGACGTAATTTGTTTCCCCTTCTTTTGAAGGTTAGGAGTTTATAGAGCCATACCACCCATGGTTTATAGTTCACCAGCAAGGAAACATACTTATTAGCTGCTGGGAACCACTAGCTCAGCTCGATTGGCTGTGTGGCACTAAGGGAGTACAGTCCTAATAGGGGCATTGCAGTTGCTTCAGGTATAAAACAATTGCATTTTAATCTATTTCCACATGCAAATGCTTCAACATAGATGTCATTCCATAGACACAGATGGTTATAGACAGTAGCCAGTAGTGGTTTTCAACTGAATACCAGAAGTTTAAGTTTTCTGTGATTTGAGTCCATTTCTATGAGCAGTTCTACAAGTGAGCCAGTTTGGTGTAGTGGTTAAGTGCACGGACTCTGATCTGGGAGAACTGAGTTTGATTCCCCACTCCTCCACTTGCACCTGGCTGGATGACCTTGGGCAAGCCATAGTTCTGATAAGAGCTGTTCTTGAAAAAGAGCAGTTTCTGTCAAGAGCTCTCTCAGCCCCACCTACCTCACAGGGTGTCTGTTGTGGGGAGGGGAAGGGAAAGGAGTTTGTAAACCGCTCTGAGACACCTTTGGGTTGTGAAGGGTGGGGTATAAATCCAATCTCTTCTTCTTCTTCTTTGGCTGTATTCTGATCCTGTTCAGGTGGCCTGCAACTAGAAATTATTAACTTTTAACACAGTTTCCTTGTATTTCTGTTGCAAAGTTTCTTCCAATCAAGGGGTGAGATTACAACGTGGGTCAGGGCCTTCTGAGGTGTGCCTTGTAGAATCAATTACACTCTGAGACCTAACCTTGTAGTCATATACAGGCAGTGGAGATATTTTACTTCAGTTGCTTTGAAAATGTAGCTAATCTAGCTTTTTGGAGACTTGAAGGTAGAGGCCTCTGTGGGGCATGTGCAGCTTGCCATACACTTCAAAATGAGCTGTCTAATGCATGGTATGCACCAGTAAGGATGATGGAAAGGCTTTGGGAGTCTGCACCCAAAAAAAACAACCCACACACATGTTAAACCTAAATGGGTGTATCTGAGTTGCTCAAGTTTGAAAAAAACACTGGTATATAATAATTAATTTCTATGTGCAAGAGAAAGTAATGAAGTAGTAAATGTTTAGCCGTGGGATCTTGTCCTCAGTATCCTAACAGCAAACTGTGATTTGCTACTATGTGAACAAATCCTGAAGGAGCTTCCATAATTGTGTTAGTGTAAGAAAGGAGGAGGAGCAAAGTCTGTGTAAGTGACCCTGATGGTCCTTCAAGGTTTGCTCACATCATTTCAGTCAATGGTTTGCCATTAAGTCTGAACCATGTCAACATCAAGAGGAATGCAGGATCTGTTGAAATAAGAAAGAGTGCCTTTGGGCAACCACAAGGTACATTTCTTAGGGCACTGAACTGCCACAGTCAGTCCATATATGTTTGTTTGTTTATTTCATTTATAAAGAAAAAGAAGAAGAGCCTACCCATCTAGTCCACCATCCTGTTTCACACAGTGGTCAACCAGTTGTCCTGGAGGGCAAACCGGTCAGAGAGGTCAAGGCCCAATCCTACTGCACCCTTCCAGCCCTGCTGCCTCTCTATATGGAGGCTGCCTTCAGTCACCGTGGCCATTGATGGACCTCTCATTCATAAATCTGTCTAACTAACTCATAAAGCTATCTAGCTCACAGCCATTAATAATAATAATAATAATAATCTTTCAATTTATTAATCGCTCAATCCTGCAGAGCTGCTGGCTCTGAGCGATTTACAGTTACTCAAATACACGTGGGACTAACAATGATTCAAGGGGTAAGGGAGGACAACATATAATCTTTAAATCACACACGTTCGCAGCCGACGGGGAGTTTGTTCAGCTATAAGGTCAGACATGTTCCAACGGCATTTTTCCCTCGGCGTGGCTTGATGTTGTCAGCTTTCTCTGGACTGCTTCACGTTGCAGCACAGCACTGCCACCGCCTGGCCGGATGGCCCATTACAGGCTTCCTTGATGCCGAAGAGTTCTTTCTAGGCTTTTCGGTCTTACGCGCTGGACATTCCGTTCGTTGGCTAACACCTCCCCCACCGGGGGGTTTTGTGTGCCCACCCTCTCTAAGGAGTGGTACCCATTTTATCTGCTCGACGCAGCTTTCGAACCGCTGGGTGGACAGCGAGCTGGGGACAAGGCTGGTAGCTCATACCAGCACGGGGCTAGAACTGACAGCAGCTCTGTTCAGCTCAGATGTATTAACCAGAGGATAAATCCCCTGTGCCACCGCTCCCCTACTTGTTGAGTAAATAAATATTTCCCCTTGTCTGTTCTTAATTACTTCTGTACAATTTAATTGGATACCCCTGAATTCTAGTATTATGGGAGAGGAAGAAAAAGCCTCCTCCAACCACTCAAAAAATTTCCATTCCCTACATAATATTATAAACCTCAATCATGTCTCCCCTTAGTCATCCTTTTTCTAGACTGAAAAATCCCAGAGTCTCCTGCCTTTCCTCATAGGGAAGGTGTTTCAACTTTCTAATAATCTTTATATATATTTTTCCTATACTGCAATGTCCTTTTTGAGATATGGCAACCAGAACTGCACTCAGTATTGCAAATGAGGCCACATCATAGCTTATGCCTTGCCTTTCTCCCCAATGGGGACCCAAAACAGCTTATCTCATTCTTCTCTCCTCCATTTTATCATAACAAGAACTCTGTTTTGAAAGCTTATACCCAGAATTAGACTTTGTTTGTCTTAAAGGTGCCACTGGACTTAAACTTTGTTCTACTGCTTCAAACCAACATGGCTTCTCACCTGAATCTGTGAAATAGGTTAAGACTGAGATCGTGTGACTGGCCCAAGGTCAGCCAGCAAGGTTCCATGGTAGAATGGGGATTCAAACCTGGGTCACCCAGATCCTAGTCCAATGCTCTAACCACTACACTATGCTGACTCTGACCTGGAATAACAAGGAAGAATTTCAAAGCAGGGCAGATGTGCACCTCTCATAGAATAGATTATCCACTGGGTCTCTTATTACTGTGGTGTATTTAAAAGTATTAAAAAATGAAAGCTCACTGATGAAACCATGTTGTGTATTCACAGCACTCTTGCAAATGACTCTAAGAACCATATTTTAAATTAATACATTTTTAAACTACATAAATGAGCCACATTGATCAGGGAGGGGCTGTGGCTTAGTGGCAGAGCATCTTCTTGGCATTCAGAAGGTCCCCGGCATCTCCAGTTAAAAGATCTGGCAGTAGGTGATGTGAAAGACCTCTGCCTGAGACCTTGGAAAGCTGCTGCCAGTCTGAGTAGATAATACTGACTTTGGTGGACCAAGGGTCTGACTCAGTATAAGGCAGCTTCCTGTATTTTTATATGTTTGATATAAATATCAACTTTTTTGTTAATCACATTAGCAAGTATCAGAAGTGACACAGATGACTAAAAGGAGGCTTTAGCAACAATTGTGGAACATGGCTATTATTTGAAGTTTATTTTTTCTTGCAATCTGTGCTTTAAATTTCACGATAACTTGTAATCTAGGGTTCACAGTACTTTAATACATTTTATACATACAGGCCCCGTTCACACGGAGCATTTGCCGCGCTAATGATACGGATGAGAGGCAGATTTTCTGGGCGCGATCACACCGCAACATCTGGAAAGTGTAGTGCACCTGTGGCTAACCCGTGGCTTCGTGCCGAAGATGCGGAGTAAAAAACTAGTACTTATGATGTACTAGTTTCCGGAAAACGTGGGGCAAGGGTGGGCGTCTGATCGCGTCCCATCCTAGTCCCATCACAAATGGTTAGGGTTTTTTTTTTTAAGTCTTCACAGGATGCGCACAAATGATCATGCACATGCTCACCTTTTGGTGAGAAAAAAGTATTCCCATTTGCCACGGAAGCAGTGCCTGGCGATTGCTGGTGTGATTGAGCAGCGCCACGCTGCAGGATAGCCGTGTGATCGGCACCTCACGCCCTAACCACGGGACCTCGACAGGACGTGTGATTGAGTGGCCGCGCGTTATTTTGCTCCGGGGCAAACAGCTATGCCTCCCCCCCGCATTTTCCAGCC